AGGGCTGGTTTTCATTTAGTGAAAAGGAAACCTCCTGAGGTTTAAGCAGAGTAACCTATCAGCAGTAAAAGGACGCCCATAACTGCAGGGGGAGATTGAAATGAGTATGGCAGAGCAGGCAGATGAGTGAGGGTACTGCAGTTACCCAGGCAAGAGATGGAGGGCCTTGGTGCGGGTCACAGAAAAAACAGGTGAGGGAGAGGTGGTCTGTGAAGATTAAGACAGGGATAAGTGGTGGGTGTAAAGGCTCCTGCCGTCAGGACTAGTCAGGTGCCTCTTTCCCTTCTCTGTTCCTAATAAACGCGTTCTAAAATTAAACAGGAAAGGAGACTGCTGGTGGCAGCACTAAGAAGCTATAGCCGCTTCCGCATGAGTTCGATCCCCGCCCACCCCAGAGGTGACCCACATGGCGTGGCAGACCTCTCCTGACCTGCCCACTGCTCCCCTCAGCAGTGTGCTTCATCAGTCGGCCTGTTCTGGTCCCCAGTCTCTCTGGTGAATCCTCTCACCGCCCCCCACACCTCTGGCCTGTACCCCAGTTCTGCATGCATAAGTAAATAAATCTTAAAAAAAAAGGAAACTAAAAGGTGGCTCATAGGAATTTGCCATTGAGCTCCTGTGATTTAGTCTGTACAGCACTGAAGGGCTTCTGCCAATTGGTTTGCCAATTTATCATGTATATGCAGAAATTAAGCCTGAGGTTTCCACTACAGCAATAATGTGCACTGCAGAAACCAACCCTACTTTATGCCAAGAAGAAATAACTCACATTTTGCTACTAGATCAGGTCCCTGCTTTAATAACATCTCATAGTTCCTTTGTCTTCATAAAGATTTTCACAGTATGTAATTAACACATTTCTGTTATTTGATTAATCCCACCCTCAAAGAAGGAACTTTTAGGCTTCCTCCAGCAGACAAACTTCAAATTACAAGGTAAATCTCTAGGGCCTCCCTGGTGGAGCAGGGGTTAAGTCTAAGCGCTGTCAAGCTATTGCCAGCCACTGTGACCTGAGTTCAATCCCTGGCCAGGGGAGTGACCCACAGGGTGCAGCAGACCTCTCCTGTCTCCCGTCTGCTCCTCTCAGCAGTGGATTTCAATGGAACTGCCCATTCTGCTCCCCACTCTGTCTCTGGTGAAGCCTCTCACTGCCCCTGCATCTCTGGCCTGTACCCCAGTTCTGTGTGCACAAATAAATCTTTTTTAAAAAAATCTATAGTATACATTTCTCATTCTTAATATAGTTCTGTCTTCCTACCAAATGGTTGTTTTTACATTTTTTCCCTAAACACAGGACATCAGAAAACTCAGCAATTTCATAAGTCAAGACTTAGTAAAAATAGAAATGTGCTTTCTTCACTTTATCCTTTATTTTGAAAAACTAAGTACTTACCATATGACCCAGCGGTCAGGTTTCTTGGCATTTACCAAAATATTTGAAAATTACGCTCACACCGATGTTTCTAGCAGTTTATTCCTAATTGTTAAGGCAGTGAAACCATGGGGCCGTAATGGTGGATACTGCATGCATTCATCCAAAGCCACAGAATGTCCACCACCTAGATTCAACCCTAGTGTGACCACGGCCTCTCAGTGATAGGACATGGCAATGCAGGTTCTCCAGCTGTAACAAGTGGACCCGCCAGGTCAGGAATGTTGATAGTGTTACGGCAAGAGGTATATTAGAGATCTCTGCACTTGACTTTTAACTTTGAACCTAATACTGCACCAGAAAAAAAAAAAATCAAGTCTTAGACACCTATGAATGGCAGCTCTGAGCATTTGCGTTTGCCGCGTTCCAGGTGTGCGAGCTGAGCTTGTCTCCGAGCACTAACAGCACTTCACAGGGGTTTGGGAAAGAGCAAATAAAATTCCGCTTAGACTGGTATTCTCTGCAGATGTGGCTTGAGAACCAGTAAGACCATTGCCATTTTGAATTTTATGTTGTATTTTGGGCACCTAACACTCAACAAGTGTTAGTGGTATCGTTTTTCTACTTTGCACATGAGAACACTGAAGCGCAGGGAGCTTGAGTAGCTAGTCCAGCAGCTGATGCAGGCGCAGGTGCTCTGGCGTGGTCCTGACTTGGCACTATTGCCATTTCATGATAGTCACGTGTTGCGGGGCACCCCTATGCCCTGCAATGGTTAGCAACATTCCTGAACCCCACCCACTAGACACCACAGAACCGCCCCACTCTTCCATGCTGTGACCACAAAAATATCTCCAGACAATTCCAAAGGTGTCACTGGGGCAGTGAGAACCACTCTGAGGACACGGCAGGGACCCCTGAGCTACACTGCCCCAGTAGCATGATCATGGGTCAGTGACCCCTTGTCGGGAAGGAAGTTTCTCTGCAGATGTGGGTCAAGTACCAGTAAGCTGCCATTTTTTATGTTTTGTTGTTGTTAGAAGGGTAAAAATTATTCTCACTTTCCACCCACTAGGAGAATTATTCTTTTTGTTCAGGTTTTAAAGCCATTTTGTTTATAAACAAAGCGTTGTGCCAACACCTATACTAAGTTCTGTACGTTCATTTCCCTCGGTTCCTCCCACAGCCCTGCAGTTTGTCATTAAACGCACCTCAGTGTGAAACAGGAGGTGTCTACGGCTGTGGCTTTCTGTCTTGTCAGGAACCAGTGATTCTTTGTGGCTTGGTTTGTTATGCTTCAGATATAAGAGGTTGAAAATACCACCTTACTTGAGTCAACAAGGAATGCAAAGCAGCTGCCTTTAAATTATGGTAAGCGAGGGACACATAGGCACAGGACTTGAGGAAATCTATTTCTAGAACTTGAACTTCTATATATACTCTCTTTTCTAAAATTGATATGACTGAGACATTTGTTCAAAACTGCATCCTCCCACTCTACAAATGAAAAGTGTTTCTCTTCTACCCAAAATCTCACTATGGACTTTGCCATGGATATAAAAATCTCAGAGGTACCAAATTTAGGGACAATTAGAAACGCTGATGTTAACATGGTAACACATCCTTTTGCAACTGAAGAGAATTCCAGTTCTTTGCTTTCAATAGATTGGAAGAAGGACCTCGTGGAATTTCAGCCAATTTAGATCATTAAAAATAACTTCTGTAGATGACTGGATTTTTGGCATATAACTTGAAAGAAAATCAAAGAGTTGAATGACATGACTGCAGCAAAACTTTCCCATTTTTACCTACTATATTACATACAGCTATAGAATGGGAAGGGAAAAAAGAATAGGCGAAAGTAATACATTTCCAGATACAGGATGTACTTTATCTTAATTTTCCTCTATATCAGTAAAGGATGCATTTCCAACAAAAATTTATTTGAATAGATTGTTCAATGTTCGACTATTGTTGAATAGTCGAGTTGTAATACACTGCTTTGCTTTGGTTAACTGCGTTCTAATTATAGCCATCCTCAGCCCACCAGTACACAAGAGCCTTAGGAAATGAAGAAATTCAATTTTTGTGCCACGGTTTTTTGTGGCAGAGAAATAAAAAGACATTTATTTTAAAATATAGGGTAAAATTTTGGAAAATAAAACTTTAAAAAGAAAAAGGAATTACATAAAATGCTCAATAACTTTCTACAGCCCCTCTGAGACCTGAAGACCCAGCGCCAGCCCCACAGTCTGAACTAAGGCCATCCAAAGTCTAGCTCCCCAACTTCTCTCCACCCCTTGCCTCAGCAGATGTGACTAGGCCTCTGTTCTCCAGCTACATATTTTTTTTTAAGATTTATTTATTTATGCATACAGAACTGGGGTAGAAGCCAGGTGTGCAGGAGCAGTGAGAGGATTCTCCAGAGACAGTGGGGAGCAGAGCAGGCAGATAGACAAAGTACACTGCTGAGGGGAGCAGTGGGCAAGGTAGGAGAGATCTGCCGCACCATGTGGGTCACCTCCGGGGTTGGGGATTGAACTTGCACTGAAGCAGCGGCAGCTAGCTTGCAGTGCTGCATTCTAACCTGTTGCACCAGCAGGGAAGTCCCCACCTACATCTCTTTAATGCCAATTTCTGTTAATTCCTCTCTGTGCATAGAAATAGAATAACTCAAAGCCCACTTCTGCCAGCTCCCCCAGTCCCCAGCTGTAAGGAAGGAAGTTACCTTCACTGCTCTGGCAACTTGCGGCAGGTATTCATCACTTACCACCTGAAAATGGTATCTTTTCCTGTTCTCTTTATTGGTAATGAGGGCAGCTGTTCAGTTTCTCCCCTCAACGCAAACAGAAACAAGCTGAGGAAGAAGAGCGTTCGGACCATGCAGTGAGCTCACCAGGAGCAGATACAGTATTAGCACAACTTAAAGACCAAATGAGGTGGTGGTGGGTGAGGGGGAGAAAGCAGGGGCTCAAAATCAACAAGGCTTTCCAGATAATACACTCACATACGAATGCTTGGTGTTTACCTTGTGTGCAGGATGATACATCCACTCTGCCTTTGCCTCAGCCAATGGCCCATTTGGTGACAGAAAAATGATTAACTCCCTAAGCAGCCTTATAAGACCCCAGTAGCTGCAGGCGCTCTGAACTGGTTGACTAGAAATACATTTATAAACAGTGTTAAAGGGTGGGTATGGGAGAGCAAATCAGAACCCAGATAACGTCAAAAGTTTGCATGAGGTGGGTATAGGGCAACATTGTCTCCAACACAATTAGTCATGTTTGACAGCACAAGAGCCTGCTTGTTGGATGGAAATGTCGCTCAGAGGCCAATGAGCGCGGAGGCCCACTTCAAGTGGGGTACCAGTAGAGAACGAGATGCCAGAGATGTCAGCGGGAAGGCAGCCACGTGTGAGGTGACTGATTCCCAGGCTGAGGAGAAAAGTCAGAGGCCAGCCAGCAGATTGTAAGGTGTGAGGATGTAACTGCCTTTAGATTCTTTGCTCCTGTCATTCTACATGCCTACCCCCTGCTCACCGAGCAAGGGCAGCACCAGTCAATTTTCAGCAGCTGAAGTCCAGGTGCAGCTGACCTCTTGGCTCTTCTTACTTGCTGAAAGTAGAAGAATCCAGCATAGGCTGGGACTGACCAAAGGCTGAGTGACCAAACCATTTCAGTGGTGGCTTTTCAGGTCTCGATGAGCCATAAAACTAACCCAAGCAAAATGGGATCACTGTGGCCGAGGGCCATCTGCATGTCACCTGCTGGGCCTCATCCTGCACTCTCTTGAGTGGGACTCAAGAGCAAAGAGATCAGGCCTGCCAGGCCTGTGACCATGGCCTTGACCTCTCCAGGACTCTTGAACTATAGCAGGGCCTCAGGCTGGCTGTGAAACGCAAGTATTTCTTCTTTCCTGAAGAACAGGTGATTGGGATTCTTGTTTAGTTTTTGACATAGGTGGAAAGTCAACCCTCACTGACTGGCGGAAAGGGAGGAGACAGATGCCACTAAGGAGGCCCATCCTTAGCAACTGAGCAGGAGTTAGAGGGGTGGCTTCGTGTTATTTTAATAGATTCCTTTGTGTTCCCCAGATAGAGGGGTGCTGGTCAGTCACAGTCGCTGAGTGGTGAGTCAGGAAGGAAAGATGCCAGCATCCTGCCGAGAACTAGCATGGAAAGAACTGACCATGGCCTTCGTAGTTACGTTGCAGGCAACCGGACTTTAGAAACGCACGGCCTGAGTGGTGGGAGGGGAAACAGTTGGCGCCACAGCTCAGAATAGGGACAGAGACAGCCAGAGCAGCCAGGTCCACAGAATGCCAGCTGGAGTCTGGAAGCAGTGCTGGTATTGCCATCATTGTGACCCCAGGGCAAAATGTAGTTGTACCACGGAGGAAAGCCAGCTCGCCTCAGGATCACGCGAGGGCGCTCAGGCTAGACAACTGAGTGCCGACAGACAGCAGCCCCACCCTCACAACCCTCCCTGCCAAGACCCTGACTCACAAGCAGCCATCCCAGACCCTCTCCAACGCATGAGCCGACGCGGCAGCGTGACTGCGTTGACTCCCTGTACCTGGAGGAACTCGTCTTTTTCTAGCCCTAGTCATGTGAAGATGTGAAAGTAACTAGTAAAAGCCATCTTTTGACCACGAGGGGAACTTCTGAAGAAAACCAACACTTACAGAAGGGAGAAGAACCTGCCTTTGATGAAGGTGCCTAAGGCTAGGCACCTTCGGGACTTAGGTTGTGAGATGGCAACCTCCACAGGGTTTCGGTTTTCTGTCACTTGAGCAGCAGGCACCCTCACCGAGACTCCCGACAAGCTCTACCAGGACAGGCCCAAGATGCCTGAAGTGCCTGCCTTGAATACAGAGTAGACGCTCGATACTCTTGTTGTTGCTGGGGAGGGGGAAGATTTTTGTGGTAGAAACTGCTAGTTGCTTACCGGACCACCACTATCCTTTCTTCTTTAGGATACAGAACTTCACGTTTGGGCTGGGCATGCTCCCGTCCAGAACAAGAGATCACGTTTCCCTACCTCCTTTGCTACAGATAGGCCCAGGATTCAGGCCAGCGAGATGGGAGAAGTGTTGTATTGTGTGGAGAGCTGACTCGACTTGTTTTCTCCCCTCTGGTCTTTCATCTTTCTTTTCACTAGAGTTCCAGACACCATCTTAGACCTTGAGGCTGGAAGCCAAGACCTGGGCTCCTGGTGGCAGAGCAGAGCTACCACAGCAGCTCTGAAATTCTTGGCTTCAGAATTCTTGTCTATGAGAGAAAAGTACACCTCGATTTTGTTTCAGATACTGTTATTTTGGAGTTTTCTCTTATATTCAACCAATTAAGATCCCAACTTAACAACTTTCCTTTTAAAATACTGAAGACTTGCATGGAAGAGCAGGAGTAAACAGGCCCTGCCCACCTGAGAGTCAGCAAGCTTTCCCCGCTTACTTTCTTTCTAGTGCTCTCAGGCAGCACTTGGGAGTTACCTCGTCAGTGGCTTGGTGAGAGTTCTAGGTTGCGAGTTACAGACTCTAGCTCTGGGTAAGAAGCCCAAGGAAGTTATCCCAAGGATGTCAGGAGCCACTGAATGGCAGGAGGGCAGAGAACCCCCAGGGAAGGGAAAGGCGTCCCAGAGCTGCACAGGCAGAGTCCGTACTGGCTGTGAAGCAGCAGGCCCGCTGAGGGAGGTGGATACCACTGCTGCTGGCCCTGCCGTGTTTGTGTGTACGAGTGGCCGTTAACCCGTACCCTCGGCCAAGTCTCTGGTACCCAAAGTCAGGCTAGATGGCAAGAAGCGGGGAGAGGAGAGTCTTCAGAAGAAAACCAGTGTTACTGGGATGGGGAAGTGGAGACTACGCCACAACAGAAGTGATCATGCCCTGAGTCAGGGCTCTGCTGGTCCAAGGCCCAGTCCCCCTCTTCGTCCCTTCTCTGGGCCAGCCAGGGGTGCTCCCTCTTTTCTGCGCAGCCACCCTATCCTCCCTCCTTGCCGTCCTTGTTTTATTTTCCCTGCTCATTAGAAAGGAATGACTGAACAGGAATACACTGCCCCGTATAGCTCTAGCACTTAGCATTCCCTATACAACTGGTAGAAGAAAGACAATACTTCTTGCAATAAATGCTAATTTTAATGCTTGAGTTTTCACACAAGTTGAATAACATAAAAGATTAAATCTTGTTGAAGCTATAAGATTGTCATTGTGCATATCATTAGTATCTTAATGTTTAAATATTTTATGATATGTGCATTTGAAAATGTTTTATTTTAACAATTATAAAAATATTCTTTTACACATTTCTAAAATTAGTATTATGAATTTTATATTTTTAATATTTTACAAAACATTTTAAATTCTTTATTCAAAACTTAAAATATAAAAGTCACTCTACCTTTATCAGCCAAAATTGTCTTTCTTTTTGTTTCCAATAAAAGACATGTATCAGAAATATATATATTTTTTTCAGAAATATATTTTTAAAAGTAATTTCAATTTGTCAACCACCTTTCCATACAGGACCCCCTCTTTTGGAAGTATCTCTGTCTCTTTAATTGTTGACAGGACGTTGGCAGGAAAATAGAACATTTCTGACTTCTTAGATTCTGTCTGCTTATAAGGCTCACTTTGGCATGCTAAGTGAGGAAATCAGGCGCCTTTTCCTCAACTATTTTTCAACAGATTTATTCCTGAATTAACATGTATAGTTATTATAAATCAAGGACTTTTAAGATAAATTTAAGATTTCAATCTCTTGCTGACTTTCCTTTAATAACACGTGAAAAAAACAAACTCTTACTTGAGGATCTGAAATTTGAGACTACTTTTCTATTTCTTCAGCTCCTAATAAGCACTAAGAAGCAATTTGCATCAATTCTCCACCTACTCCTTGGCATCCCCGATTCCTCCAGCAGTTATTGCGAAGGTGGCTTCATTTTCAGGCATCTCAGGGCTAACAGAATACAAGAGAACAGAGTTTATAAAAAGCTCTATTTCTATAAATACTGTATTCATGTCACAGGCACCTTACTCCTATCAGTCTGAGTCTCCAGAGACAGCTCAGAGTCGGTACAGCTAAATGTGGACTCACAATTTATCCTCAAGTATTACTGACCCCCATAAACATTTATTGAATAGCCTCTTCATGTACAGTTCTGAATGTCAAGAAAAATCACCCCAAATTTAGAAAGCGGTAAAGGGAGGGTAACTAGGTTTTCTCTCAGCACACAGGCAGGGTTTGTGCAGTGGGCCTTTGGGGACTCTTTAATTCAGAAAGGGTGTGCCCCTTCCTTTGACTAGAGGAACTATGCGATGCAGGGAAGAGTGAAAGGCTTTGAAATAAACTGAAAGGTCGCTAAATACCTCCAATGAAAACACAGCTTGTCCAGCACATTCTTCAGGTCATCTAATTCTGTGAGGGCTCTGTCTTTTGTTGACTTTGAGCTATTTTACAACTTTGTAAGTAGTCAAAAACTGAGTGAAACGTATTCTTGCAGAAACCCACAAAAATGTAAATGGTGTGAGGAGGACTACTGACCCATTTTTTATTAATTAACAATTCATTTCAGCATTCCATATTTAACCAGATATGTGTGGTAGATTTTTCCTTTGATCCGGTTAGAGAATCTCATGGGTTTCCACATTAATGAGCTAAATAAAATCTTTGGCATTTTATATTTGTAGATTATATGTTCTTTTAAATTTTGCTTTTTGATTTATTCTACAACTCTATAGGAGCAGAGGTATAAACCTGAAGCAATACAGATGATTCTGGTCTATAGTAATGGAAGTGAATTCCATTGTGTGGTAGAGCAATGGCCATCCCTCCAGTTGAAAAGACAACTTCAAATTTAACTGATTTTGCCTCTATGAGCAAATTATTTCAGCATTCCTTTGACTAACTACATAAATTTCTGGTCTTTAAATTATCATTTGAATAAAAAAGATATATTTATTTATGCATACAAGAGTTGGGGTGTAGGCCAAAGGAGGGGGGGTGAGATGATTCACCAAAGAAAGGGTGGGGAACAGAGCAGAGATCTACTGAAATCCACTACTGAGGGGAGCAGCGGGGAGACAGGAGAGGTCTGCTGCGCCCTGTGAATCACTCCCTGGCCAGGGAGCCAACTGCAGTGGCTACTGACAGCTTCATAGCACTGAGACTTAACTCCTGTGCCACCAGGAAGGCCCAGGGTTTCCTCATTAATTAAGGAGTTGAATAGGATCTTTGACAAGTGTTTATTTCAAATTTATTTGCAAGAAATAAAATTTTTAATTTTTTGAAGGTCATACTTTGATGAGTACTTCAGCCTATAGTTTTTACAAAAACAAGGCAGTCTCTAAGAAGTCTAGCAGACAGACTGACATGACACACATGTGAAGTTAAGTAATTCTCCGGTGTGCACGTGATGGAACTCTATCGAGAGGACTTGCAGGGAGGCTGAGCAAGAGTGTCCTCAGAAAATTGGGAGAGGCAAGATGGGAGTGCCCAAGTAAGGGTAATATAAGCTAAAAAACAGAACAGACTGTTATGTGTACATGAAAGGGGGGAAGAAGAAATCAGGTGTGGCTATTGAAATACACAGCTCGAACATTCATGTAGAGTACTGCAAGCAGCTGGAAATGAATGGCTAAAAGTGGGGTGAAAGGTCAGACCAGAAACAGAAATATGCAAACCCTGACTGTGAGAGGGAACTCTTCCTGCTCTTTGTGCTGTTATTAGATCCAGGTTATGGTAACTGTGTAGATGACTCATAACTGTCATCTATTAACTTATTTTCTGTTCATAACTACTATGTATACATTGTGTGCAATCCCCTGGTGAATCTGCCATACTCTTGAGTGTGCCTTCTCACCTGCAATAAAGTTTCATGTCAAACACCTACTCTGACTCCCTCATGAATTCCTTCCTGCACCAAAGTCCAAGTGGTGGTGGTGAGGAAAAAGTACATGTCAAAAACTCCTAGTACACACACAGGCTTCATTTCTATAACCAACTAAAGAAAGTGTAGGCCTAGATTCCAACAGCATGGACTCTAATCCTGGTAGTGTCCTCTATCAGTTGTATGTGGGGGCCAGTCCATTCATTTACTCTTTAAGAAGATATTTTTTTTTTAAAGAAGGTATTTATTGAGCATCAGCTATATCCCTGTTGTAGGTACCTGAAATATGTATGTGGAAAAAATAGACAAAGATTCCTGCCCTTGTGGAACTTGTATTTGAGAGGAAGAAGAGACAGAGTATAAATAATGGAAAGAATACATATATTACATGATATACTAGAATGTGGAAAGAAAACAGAGCTGACAAAGGGAGACTGAATTATGGAAATGGGTAGGAAGATCCTGGGGACATTAAGACCAGCACTGTTGAGACTTGGAGGTCACCAGGAAGAGCTGTATGGGGAAAGACTAGTCTGTTCAGGTAGAAAAAGAAGCACAAAGGATCTAAGGTAGGAGTATGCCTCCTTGCATGTTTATAGAAGATCAAGATGCCCTTGAGGTTGGAGTACAGAGAGGAAGAGGGGTGCAGGCGAAGAGGAGGCCGTTCATGTGGTGCTCTAGAAATGGCTGTGGACACTGAGCTTTCGTTCTGAGTTAAGATGGGAAGCCTGAGGGGTTTCAGCAGATGATAGTTCTATGAAGAAAGGACAGTGGTTACCAAACTGCGTGGGGCCTTTGTTTCCTCACTTGTAAGAAGACCCTGTTTATTCCGATCATGCTTTGTGCTTTCCATGCACTTACCACATTTTCATTGGGAATAATTCATTATTTGGCATCACTCTAAGCTTTGGAAGATCAGGACCAAATCTGTTCATCAACTGTACCTGTGCAAAGTGGGAACTTCTTAGCAAAAGGAATAGCTTTGAGAAAGAAATGCACACATCTGAACGTTGCACAGTCTCCACCACTGGAGTAATTGGTCTCTCAGAAGATGCAGTTCTAATCTGGTTAAGAAGAATATATTTACCTGTCATATATCTTGGCAATTCTGAGTTCTCCTCTTCCCTTTCTCAAGCTTATTCTTGTCGTTGAAGCATGAGCCAGAATGTGTCCCCCGATGGGTTTTTTGGGGTCTGCCTGAAAACTGAATTAACAAAAAACGTTTCAGGTTTCGTCACGTGACTATACTAGCAGCTGTAGTTACAAGGCACCTTCTCTGGGGGTGACAGGGTGGCAGCCATGTCTTCTCAACAAGCAGAGGTGTAAACTATGCAGGTAGAGCTGCCTCATACCCCACTGCCGCTCAGTCCTGGCTAATGAGGTTCCTGTGACAAACAGTTCATATTTTATTTGACTTTTTTAAAAAGAAAAAACAAAAAGAACATAACTCACTGTTTTAGGAAACTCTTAGGGTTAAGAAATCATCTTTTTTTAACAAAATAAAAGGGTTGGATTTATTATTTATTCATCAGAAATATCTGTTAATGTGCTATGTGCCAAGTACTATTTGAGTCTAATGAATAAGCCATGAAGTAATGACAGCAGACTGAGAGACTCTTTCTGGTTCACCACTACACTTGGAAGCCGCCTTCAAGGTTGAACTGGTAATACACTTATAGTGAGAATCATCTCAGAAATATCTTTGTCTTTATCACTGATGCCTAAAGTTTATCCTTCTAAAGTAGGATACAGAATAAACAAGCTCTTACAATGTCTAGTCATGAGCATTCAAAAATATGTTATGATTGCAAGGTAGTCACCAATATTGACATTCATCTTGAGTGATACATGCAGCAGGCAGGAAGTGAAATATTCTTGTAAACCTTAGAATGAGCCCTTCAAAGAAGCCTCGCTCTAAAAATTCTCCAAAAACCCAGCACACTGAACCCAGCAGCACACTACCCTACCAAGTAGTCTGGTCTGGGAAAGCAAGAACCATACAACACAGGGAACTCATCGGCGGAATACACCACATCAACAGGATGAGGAGAAAGAAAACACATGATAACATCAACTGATGCAGAAGAAAACCTAGGCTCTGAAATCACCAATAAAAGAATCAGACTGTGAACACGATCAGAATAAGCCGCGACAGAGTGCAATAACCTCAGCTGTGGGAGACAGTAGTTACAAGCAGATTCAAAAATTCTGCTTGTTTACAAAGGTGCTCAGGATGCTGGTTGCTCTCAGCATGAGGCTGGTGTCTGAGGATGTGGACTGGTGTGCAGTTATGTAGACTGTAGGTTGGTGGGGGTAAGATGCTCTCTGGTAAAGGAGTCTACTATATAAACAGTTTGATTAAATACCTCAGAGGTTACAGATCATAAGATCCCAGATGCAACTGGATAGGACTGGTTAAGACAGCAGGCCCCACATAGAACAAATGCCAAGATTTAGTGCTGGAGGAACACCTGTCATGAAGCAGCCAGGCAGCGGAGACTGACAGCAGTGAGAAGCTATAAGCCTGGCTGCTCCTCACCGCCAGCTGTACAGTAGTAAAGCAATAAAGTCATTTCACTCAGATGGAAATGCTTGAGCTGAGTGGCCTCATAATGCTTAATGTCACTCTTTTTTTTAAAAAAAATTGTTTTTATTTACTTATACAAACAAGAACTGGGGTGTATGCCAGAGTACAAGGGTATGGGGGTGGGGAGGTGAAGCAGAGTGGGGAGCAGAACAGGTAGATCTACGGAAATACAATGCTAAAGGGAGCAGCGAGGAGACAGGAGAGGTCTGCTGAGCACTGTGGGTCACTCCCTGACCGGGATGGAACACAGATGGCAGCCATGATTGTGCTGACACTGTCACTGGGCCACCAGGAGATTCTTTGTGCCACTCTTCCTAATGGACTCGCTTCAACCCTACCTTACAGGTGGCTTCTGGAGGTCTTAGAATCCTAAATCCTATGTGATATACAGATGAGCTGCTTGAGGTCTTGATACTCTGAGCTGGGCTATGAACTCTGAACCTGTAAACACTGCATTTATGTTTCTTTAGAGAAATTTTCAACTTTTTCCTTTAGTACTATTCCCCTTCAACCCCTCTTCTATTACATAGTACTAAGCTCCTTAAGCTTACGCATAGTATTTAGCTTTGTGGAGACTAGTTACACAGTGGGTGCTCAAAAATACTTTTGCACTAAAAATATGGAAGGCATAAAAATACCATGGAGAGTGTTAGAATTCTGCAGAAAAATGGTGCTCCCACAGAAGGTAGATCAGCTGGAACCTTCTCCTAAGAGGAGATAAGGAAGGATAGTCAGGATTAGCTGCATGGTGGTGAGCTCTCACAGCTATGCTGCTCCCAGATGGCCTAACCACGCTAGAGGTCCCTCCCTATGAGCATAGCCAGCTGTGCCGCTCGTCTGCAGCCTCCACAGTCTCCTTAAGCACCCTTTCCACTCCTGTCCCCTCACCTTGAGCATCAATGCTTCATAAAAATAAAAAGGCAGATATAAAAGGAGCTAGGCTTTCTCCCCAGTTGAAATAATCTTCCTAACCTTGAATACAGAGGATCTAAAGAAGAGCAGGACGCCAGAGCTGCGAAATGTGTCACCACGGCTCTGCTGCGGAGCCACTGTCTGGCTCAAGGGCCTGGTGATCGAGGCACTACAGCGCATGCGCACTACTGCTCGCTGCAGCTCACTCCAGGTGAAGAACCCAAATGTAAGATTCTCTCCAAAGGGGATGTTTTCGAATGAACTAAATGGGGAAATAATATAACTTTCAAAACTACTATAAACTATATAGGAGAGACATGGCGAGAAAAGCCCTCAAAAATTATTCATAAAAGATGATGTTGGCCCTCCCTGGTGGCGCAGCGGGTTAAAGCGCAGCACTAAGAAGCTAAAGCCACTTCCGAGTGAGTTTGATTCCCGCCTGCCCCGGAGGCGACCACATGGCGCGGCAGACCTCTCCTGACCCGCCCGCTGCTCCCCTCAGCAGTGTACTTCGTTGATCTGTCTGTTCTACTCCCCACTTTGTATCTCCATCCTCTCACCCTCCGCATCTCTGGCCTGTACCCCAGTTCTGTATGAATAAATATATAAATCTTTAAAAAAAAAAGTTAAAAAAAAAAAGATGACGTTATACTTCCAATAGCCTGTAACAGCATAACAGCTGTAGCTGTGGGGAAAATGTACTTGGTCCATCATGGGTTCAGGATTCTATAGAGCTTTGTCTTATTCTTTCAGTGACACTAGACCAAGACCTTTTCTTAAAGTTTCTCTGAAGTTCTTGAATATTCTAGCAGTGATAATCAAATCTTGAGGTAAAGTACAAGAAGGTGGAATAGCATTCTACATTCTTTTAGAGGGCTTTAATTTACTTCTATTTCTGACCAAGTAAAAACAGCTTCAGAAAACCGCCCACACCCTTCCTTTAGCCTATTCTCCTATTTCCCCTTCTTTTATTTTCTTCTCTTCTTTCCTCCTTTTCTCAGAGGATGGGGGAGTATGATGATGAGAAAGAGGGTGGACATTAGGAATAACAGATCAAGAGAGATTGTTTCATTTTTACCACTTTGAGCAGGATATAACATAATATACTATTGAGGGTAAGATCCAGAACAGACCAACCAGCAACTTCAAATTAGGCTAGTTTGTGAGGAGGATTCTTTGAGATTAAGTGAAGATGAAAGAAGAGTACAGCCCAAAGAGTAAAAAATTGGGGAGAAGGTATGGTTTTATAAAAAGGGAGCATCTTTAAGATGTTAAATGTCCTTCTCTTCCTGTTTCCTCCCAAAATATATGGAAAAATCTATATGCTCCTCAGCATTTTGAAGAGGAAATCTTGGGTTTTTAGAAGGGTAGGGAAAGAAGGCAGCAACATACTAAGAATGGCTTCATAGAAACTGGAGGAGGCCCACAGAGACTGAATTATGTTGAGGTAACATGAGAATTACAGAAGATGGGGAATGAAGATAATGCTGGCACATGGGAAGCCATCAATAACGTTAAGTTCCCCCAATGTGGACAGGGAACAAAGGGAAGTTCAAAACATTTAAATGACTCACATAAAGTCACCACGCTAGTGCCTTTGGTTTAACTTTCATCTAACCATACTGCCTCTTTATTGATGCTAAAGGCATCACCTAGTGAGGGGACAACTTTAAGACTGACAGCACATTTCCAAGCCTAAAAATGGTCCAAGTGGCACCATCAGGGTCTTATTCATTGCTCACCTTTTTTATCTGCCTTGGTGTGGGGTTTGACGGGCTGATATTTTGACTCTGGATCTCTAGCTCTCTTCAACTGGATCATTCTATTCTAAAGTCTGTATCTGTAAGCCTCATCTGGGAGCTACTGCTCTGTTGTATCATATGGCAGCTCCTCGCCTCTGTAATTTTGTTCCTTTTTAATAGGATGCACCATCAAGTATAATGCATGGGATATAAGCCTCAATTATTGTCAGAGTACTTGCGGACTCATACCAATTATAGTGGTATTTCTCTGACAGGCCCCAGGCGAGCTGCAGTTTGGAGTTCCTCAACACTGAAAAACAGATATATGTATATTTTTTATGGGAGGTTTTCTAATAGCATTTGAAATCATTTAGTTTACTTCTGCCCTGTTTTTTTTTCATTTAGTTGTAGTAATTTATGTGCTTTATATGAAGACATGCATTTAATCTGCATTGTTTTAATTTAATATACTTTAGAACCTACAGATTCTAGTGAATCCTGTTTTCTCACAGTCAGGTGAAGGACAAGCTGTTTCAGTGCATGCTAACCCAGAAAGCACTAGCCTTTGTTACCTTCTCTGGCCCTCACTTAGCCCCTCTGTTATAAATCTACTCCCTCTCCAAATCCTTCAATTACTTCCTTTCTGTCACCTCTATATTTTTCCTTTCATTGTCTTACTGGAGTCAATTCAAAATGATTTTACTGTTCTTGAAACTTTTTACAAATATAAGAAGTAGAACCCCTATATGACCTAATTTCCACTGATTCCCTTTGCCTTCCAACTCTAGATCGACAGCTTTGGCCTCTTCAATGTTCCCTCCCCACACCTGAAGAAAGAACATTGCTCTTTAACTTGTACTGTTTTATTTGAATGCAACCCACTTCCTCCCTCTGAGCCAATGAGTCATTTTCTCTTTTTAAAGAAAGCCTTAAAAATCTTCCATTTCGCTTCAGTTTAAAATTATTCTCTTTGTGAAGTACTTCATGTCCTGTGTATGAAAGACACTCCTTAAAACACAGAAGACTGCCTTAACCACTCAAGGGCTACAATGTGTGACCTACTAAGACTTTAAAATTTTGAGCTAGATAGACTTCTTTTGTTGTTCTGTGTGGAGTCAAGGCACAGTCTCTTTTGTTCACTTGTGAGTTCCCAAAACCTTGATACATAGTAGTATTTTAATAAATAATTTATTGAATGAGTTAAATTATTCATCTCCCGTTTCTTAACCTCTTAAACTTTCTTAATACTATTTACGTAGTTAATATTTTCACATTGGAATCTTCTAAGATTAAGTAGAAAATATTCATAAAAGACTATTGAAAAGTGAGAGAGAAATCAAACTGCAGAAGATACAATTTAGGAACTGGCTAAAGAGAGACATTTATTTCAAACATTTATGGGATTTATATTAGCATGTCAAATATCTTCTAATGTGTATCAATAACTCATTTAATTGCTACTACATGATGCATTAGCTTGGTATGAAAGTAGCATCACTCTGTATTGCAATCAGCAGTAATTGATTTAAGCAAGACTATTCAATATGTGCTAACACCAGAGGATATAAATGTACTGTAGAACAGAAAACTTACACAAGTCTGAAAGCATCACCTCATCAATTATTTATTATTACAAAAGGGAAAAGGTCTTTTGTAATGGAGAACTCTTACCACCATCTTAATCACATGATCAAACTTATGACTAATAATGAGGCAAACTGCCATCAAGTACCTCCTAATATGATAAGCTGAGAAGACCACAGTATCACTTTTCCTGCCAAAACTGTTTAACATTTTAAATAATAAGGAAAAAAATCAACTCCAATTTGAGGAATATTCTGAAAAACACTTCACATGTGCTCATCAAAAACATCAGTGTCATAAAAGTCTATCAAAAGTTGAGGAATCACTCTAGGTAGAGAAGACAAAAGAGATGTGACAACTGGGCCCTCCCTAGCTTTAACAGCTTAAAGCGCAGCACTAGGAAGTTATCAGTAGCACTGCAGCCTGAGTTCAATCCCTCCCCAAAAAGCTGACCCACAGGGCGCAGCAGACCTCTCCTGTCTCCTCGCTGCACCCCTCAGCAGTGGATTTCAGTCCATCTGCCTGTTCTGTTTGTTCTGTTTCCTACTCTGTCTCCGGAGAAGCCTCTCACCGCCACTCGCCCCTACACCTCTTACCTGTAACCCAGTTCTTGTATGCATAAATAAATAAATTAAAAAAAAAAAGAGATGTGACAACTACCTGCAAAGCACAGTTCTCAATTTGATCCTGAATAGGAGAAAAGTAAACCCAACAATTATAAAAGATATTATTGTGACTACTGGAAATATTGAATACAATTGTATATCAGACAACATTAAGATGCCAATGTTAAGTTTCCTGAGTGTGGTAATTATACAATAGTTATGCAGGAAATGTTCTTGTTCTTGGAAGATATATACTGAAACATTATGAAGTGTTATGGTGTCTGCAAATAATTCTCAGTGGTTCGGGGGGAAACCGTCAGATAGTTCACCAAAATTATACTTGTATATACACAGGTGTGTATGTTTATGTACATTTATGTGTGTATGTATGTATATGAGTGAAGTCTGGAGAGTGAGACTTTATACACACACACAGAGAAAAATATGACAAAACATTAACCACTGATGAGCCCATTTGAATAACATGTGTATTCATTATATGAGTTTTCTAACTTTTTAGTTACAAATTTTTTTTGAATAAAATGTTGAAAGGTCTTTTAAAAAGCAATATTGTAGATTCAAGGTTATTTTGACTGCTTACTCAGGCATATGATGCTCAAAACTACTGATGGTGGCAACTTACCATTTTTCAAATTTTCCATCACCCTCCTTTTAGCTCTGCTACTCTTCCCATTCAGTGCATCTCTCAAGTGGAGCCATCAAGAGGTCTGCTGTGCACACAATTACTTCAAGAAAATTCTGAATATGCCTGTGTGAACTGCAATTCTGCTTCCTCCAGCAGGGAATTTCTCTCATAGGATCACAAATAATGTACCGGTTTCTACTGTAGAGAGTCTGCATTTTGTTTTCAAGTTATCAGTTATCAGTGCAATGGAAGCTATTAATGTTGCTAAAAATACAATTTTATTTCCCTAGGACCTTCTTTCCTTCTTTTTTTTAAGGATCTTTTTTTAATCATCCTCTAATATTTTAATCCTTTACAGCACAAAGTTTTTCTGAAAATGGTTAAACTGTTGTGTTATTCTATAAAGAACTAGAGATTCTGGAGAACCAGTCAGTCATATTTGCAAGTTGAAAGTAATGAGCACTGTGCAACCAAATGAGCTTGATAAGTCTGTGTCCACATGGAGACAGGTCACTTTGGAGCTCTGTCCTCTTTTATTCTGACTCTCTTGATATTAACCTCTATGAAACACAAAAGCAAAATAACTGGGACTTACGTCATTGTTGCGCCTGGATCAGCAGTCATTTGATTGGTCACAAACACAGCCACATTGTATTCTGCATCAAGACATAAGATTGAGAAAGTAAAAGAAGGTAATGGAAATACAGAAAACTCGTGGTTTAGATATCAGAGTTTAGCAGCAATGTGCCATGAATTTATTTTATAACCAAAAAGATCACATTCCTATTTTTTCATTGGTTATAATACAAAGTTATTATTTAGGTATCTTATCGTGTTAGAGTCAATGTTTTTGATTTAATACTACCTGTACTCCTATAAAGATTTTAAAAAATGTGTTACCTCCTAATATTATTCTGCGTTTCTCTACAAAGACTACTCAGGAAACAGTCACAAATGCTATTATGATAGCGCCATTTTATTTTTAAAAAATCTACCTTCTGAGATTTTTTGGAGTCGTGACAACATCTGAGCCAACTTTTGCTGTCGTTCAGCCAACTCCCCACGACCACTGAAATCCACTCGAAACAGTGCCATTACTGAATCAATAATCTGCACAGGGTTAATGTAAAAATAGGTTTTCATTTGGAAATGGGAGGAGTTAATTTTAATCAGAATTAACAGAAAAAAAAATTTGCTAAGTTGCCTGAGTAAGCATTATTTAAAAGCTTGTACCAGTAGCTTGAAAATGCCAGCTTCTTCATGGAACTTTGCTGCTACATAATCTAGCAGCTCCATCTGATGTTCACCTGGTGGGAAATGCAGTGAGAGATGCTGTAAGAGCTAGATCAAGCATACAGTAGGATCATCTGTGTCCCCGGGAAGCAGGCCAAAGAGCCTCTGAAGGATCTTCTTAATTATTTATGATTTCATTAAATATGATTTTATATTTTGCCTCAGCATACTCGCCAAATTCTACAGTTTTAACATTCTAAAAATAATGTTACTCTCTGTTTGAAGACACAGAGTAAGAAATAATTTGAGAGTATTTTAATATCTAAGGCTTGCCAGGTGATAAAAATTGGTAGATTAAATTAATTTGGAGGAAAGTAAAATAAAAAAGCTGTATCAAAATGTAAGTAGCACTCAGTGCTGCCAAATGTGACGCTGCCCAAATGTCCAGGCGCGGGGCTCTTACTGGTGTAAGCCCGGGCATAGAGCACATTGTCCAGCACTGCGTCGTGGTCTACATTGAAGCGATCTGCAATGTCCCGGAGGCGATCTGGACGGCTGGAGTATGCCAAGATTAAGGAGCCAATAAGTTGATTCCAAAAAGCATTTAGACAGCCACAGACAATAACACCTTAAGGAACTGAACAGAGGTAAGACTATGAACCTGCAAAGATAATTGAAGGATGCTACTAATCACTTAAAATCTATACCAGATTTTATTTTTCATAAATCCCTCAATTTAAGAATATCCTATGTAGTGATGGCAGTCACAGAAATGAAGTCATGTGAATTTAAATACTAAGTTTTCTAGTCTTTGAAATAACCTTGGAAGCTAGCTGTTATGGCCTATATTACATTTTACTAATGAGGACACTGACAAACAGGTTAGGCAAATGACTCAGGATTATGCCGCAAATCAGTTACAAGAGAAAAACTAGAAACTAAGATTTGTGAGTCTCTTTTGTTCTCAGTTCTATAAAAATAGATCTATTCTAGGAAGATAATATCACTGAATTATAATTCAAGTCACTTCAAAGTGAATTAATTAACTCTTCATACTCCTTGCTTGCTCATATGAAATAGTTTAATATGCCGCTAATCATGTATTGCCACTAAATAATAAATTTGACTACATCAACTCATGGGTCAAAAAGTTACTTCAAGGGTTAGAATCTCTAATCTAGAGTTCTGGGCTTCGTTATATTTTAACCTACCTTCTTTACAAGTTAGATGAAGGAGATAGTTTTCTGAAATTAGTAAATTCATACAGAGGCAAATTCAGTCTGCCTGCAAAGATATTCTGAGAGATACTAATAATCAGTGATATCTGTCTAAACTAAAACGGAGTAATTAATTTATCTTAGGTCTTTGCCAATCCCAACAGTAAGTTTCTAAGGTAAAATAAAATGTATGTCTGGGGTCTCGGTTCACTTTGTTTACAATGTTTCTGTAACTCTGATCATAGTGTAACTATGAAGAAAGGCCCAATCATCATCTTATTTGTGACGCTCCAATCGCTCAATAAAATGCTGAATTAAATGGCCTTTAAGACTCCTCAGCCATCTATTGATACAGCCTTTAGCCATCTATTGATACAGCCTAACACATGATACAATTTTTTTTCTTGAGAGCTTCAGTAACAGCCACTAGTATCTCCCATTGCTACTTAGTGTATATACCCTGTAGTTGTTTTTGGTGGACAAATCAAAGCAAGGAGTTGGAAGAGTCAGTAACATTTTTTACTACATCAGTTTTCATAGAACACAACTACTATATAGTTAGGGGTTTAAAAGCTGCACTGAACGGTGAAGGAAAATTTAAATCAACCTACAAATATGTATTAACTGATTACTATAGGTAATCAATTACCATATTAACTAATTACCAATGCAAAGCATTGTGCAGGATAATGAGTTATAAGACAATCTACGTCACAGGCCAGCAAACAGGTAAAATATAAACATACAAAAAGAAAAATATGAGAGAAAAGTCTACGTGTAAGCGACACTGAAAGGTTGAGAACATTCCTCTGTGCACCTCACATGTCCTAGTTTTCCCAATTGTTCCTCTACTCCCGCTTGCACATGACTTCTCCGTAATTGATAAAATCCAAATTCCCCACAGACTGGCTGCTAATAATCTCCCTTTCTAAGAGCCATTCTTAATTATTTCTGAAACTAGCTAAATGCCAACTGAGTTCCTCTTGCTCTGGCCCCATACACCTTCCCTGGGTTAGAAGTCTCTGAGAATTTTCTCATGCCCAGTATCTCCGAATAAGGTCTTCTGCAAACAGTTCTCTGATTGTTTTCCTTCTACTTGAACATTTTAGGTAGGAATTTCTAAAATAGATCAAGATGAAAGTGTTCTAAGTTGGGTAATTAAACATTAGAAAAGAAAGTCTTGGCCCTCCCTTGTGGCGCAGCTGGTTAAGCACTGCACTGAGAATCTAAAGCCACTTCCGCATGAGTTCGATCCCTGCCTGCCCTGGAGGGGACCACATGGCGCGGCAGACCTCTCCTGACCCGCACGCTGCTCCCCTCATCAGTGGACTTCATTGATCTGCCTGGTCTGCTCCCCACTCTGTCTCTGGTGAAGCCTCTCACTGCCCCTGCACCTCTAACCTGTACCCCAGTTCTGTATGCACAAATAAATAAATCTTAAAAAAAATAAAAAGAAAAAAAAAGTTTTAAAGGCTTTAAATGATTCAGACAAACTGTGAGGCGGGGTGGAGCAGGCAAACAGCCTGAAGGACAGAAACATACCACACAAATTTCTCTATGGCTGGTCAAATTACATTCAAGAGCAAGAGCAAAATAATGGCATTTTCAGACATGCAAGGGCTCAAAGTTTACCACCTGGATGACTTTTCAGAAGGAATTACTTGAGTAGGAACTCCAGCAAAACAAAAAGGAAAAAATGGGGATGCAAGAAACCATAATGAAGAAAGGAAATAAGAATCTTTCAGTTATATATAAGTAACTGTTCTCAAATTTTAACAGCAAAGTGTATTTTAGAGGCAACAAAACTGGGCTAGAACAGACGGTCTCTGTCTCTAACAGAGAGACTGTCAATAACAGTATATCTTATCAATTTTATACCAAACCCATGTGGAAAAGTTAAACCGTTTTTATAAAGTGATTTGAGAACTCAACTTGCAATTGTTTTCCTTTTGACTCTGTCACTATTGCTGGTTTATGAGATTATTACAAAAATGATATATTTCAAACAATCTTTTATGGTGACATTATTATCTCACATCTCCCGCTACTAAGTCAGCAACTTGTTTAAATTAAAGGGTTACAAAGTATTTTCTGTATCAATGAAGATAATCTTTCCTCCTGGGTAGCCACTTGCTCCTGGAAGTTGAGCTGTCACTAGGAAGCAAAGAAAAATTAATAATAATGAGAGTAAATAAACTTTGTACAAATGAATATATAAATCAACATGGGTTTATGCCTGTTGGAACTCATCAATCAATCTAGCAAAGAATTATGATGCGACAGTTTAAAGAGTATGCTATATTTTTGTATTACTAACCAATGGGAAAAGCACTGCCAATATAGTGGTAATTCAACAAAGACTGTCAATATTTCTCAGAATTAGGAGAACGTTCTCTTAAAGAAGTAGAATTTAAATATCACTTTCTTCCTATAAGAAATAATAACAAATATAACGTATGTTATGTAATTAAAGTAACCTTTCAATTAATGTATTCCATTAATTTTAAATGTAATTTTTATATGTAGTAGTAGCTAATACTAAGGAATACTTTATATTCAGTTCATGCACGTTCAAAACACCCCGACCTTTGGCAGTACCACTGTTCTTATTTTACTGATGGGGAAAATGAGAAAGGTGAATAAACTGGCCCAAGGCCACATAGTTACTGGTGGTAGAGCCAGACTAGGGTCAGGAGTTTTAAGTCTAGAATGCTCTGCTTGACACTTTGCTAACCTCCACCTGCTGAGATCAAAGAAATGCAGAATAACACCTTGATGTAACGGAACATACTTTTGTTTATTCTGCTTGAAAAAAATTGTTTCTAAGTCTTTCTTAGGGTCTACCTTATCCTATGGAAAATAAGGAATTCTGATCTCAACAGGTTTGTGGCATCATTATAGCTAGGTATGGAAAAGATGGACTGGCCAAAACTGAGACTGAATGCCGCTCCCCACCGATCTCGCACTGGCCCACTTCCTTCCTGTTTTCACTCTGTTGTAGCACACCCTGCATCACTTCATGCACTATATGCTGAGACCACCAGGAACAGTTGTGCGACGATAGGCAGTTTACCAAATGTCTGAGCTTCTTGCTAACTGGTTCAGATTACATGAAACTATATAAAGTATGCAAAGCAGATCAGTTAAGTGATTGCTAGATATCTGTTGCCATTTTTGTTGCTATTATGTATCCTTACCACAGAGGGTATGAGAGAGCTGGGTTTTTCCAGTGCGAAACTCTGTAAAACATAGAAAACCCACAGTTAATTTTTAGATATCTTCATATAGATTAAAACATGGAAGCAGGTATAGTTTTCTTTTCTGTCAGAATTTTTAGATATCTTCATATAGATTAAAACATGGAAGCAGGTATAGTTTTTAGATATCTTCATATAGATTAAAACATGGAAGCAGGTATAGTTTTCTTTTCTGTCAGAACTCACACAAAACCACTGCTGCATAAGGAGTGAATTGTGCATTACGAATATTAGTAACAAACAAACCTTTTTTTAAAGATTTTTTTTTTTTTACTGCATAGAAGACCTGGGGTGCAGGCCAGAAGTTGTGAAGGTGAGAGGATTCACCAGAGACAGAGTGGGGAGCAGAACAGGTGGATTTATTAAAATACACTCATGAGGGGAGGAGCAGACAAGACAGGAAAGGTCTGCTGCACAACTTGCAGATCAGCACCCTGGCCAGGCACTGAACTCGTCACAACAGTGATAGTGCAGACTATTTGAAGGGTTTTTTTTTTTTTTCCCTACAAGCTGTCCTTGAGATAAAAATTAAACCAAGTTTTCCTTGGGAATAGTTACATAAGCAAAGACATCAGAGCCTGCCATCAGAAGGAAAGCTTGAGGTTGTCCCAGTAACCGAGATCAAGGGGAATCAGAAGTGGTCTCATATTAGTGACAAATTCCCTTTGGATGAAAACTTCCCACTCACCACTGAATGCCCACAGATCAAGCAATAGGATCACAAATATCAGTAAACTCACAAGAAGGTAAGCCACTAAAGCAAGACTTATTTCTCCAAGTCAACATAAATATCAACAGATCTAGCTCCCTGAGGACTGCAAGCACTGGTCAGGCACAAGGGAGTACACAGCTATGTATGAACTGTTCTGGAGAAACAGAGGATATGATCAGAAAAGAGAAAATCTACTCTCTGTTCATGGGACATGCATTTTCTAGAAAAATTAATCTCATTCTCCAACTACCTTTCCAAGAAGTGAGAGAAAAGTATATTCTATAGGCCTGAGGTAAAAAGATGAAAAATGCCAACAAGATCCATTATCATTTCACTTAAATATGGACTATTACAGAAACCAAACAGAGGGTCAGACAAAGCCCAACTTTAAAATCAACCCTTGGAAACGGACCACAGACCCGAGGCATCCTGGAGGGGAAGGGAGAAGGAGTGAAAACAACTGTGGTGGAGGATGACAGGCGCTGGTGGTGGGAGGTCTACTGTCACCACACCTGAGGGGAGAAATCCTATACTGCCAAAAAATTAATCAGGATGTAATAAAACAAGGGCACTACATTAAAATGTGTTCCACAAAATCCATCAGTTACGGTTGGAGTAAATTTTAATTGCAGCCCAGAATGATTCTGTACTATAAAAACTGAGATTTCATACATTCCAGAGTATGTGTGTATGTTTATATAATCTTTTCATATAACAAAATATTAAGGTTCTACTTACCTCCAAAAGCTTCTGTGATTGCCATGCTTTCAATTCCACCTCCCAGCAACTTACTGGAAATAGAAAATAAGCATTGCAACAGGCACAGAAATAGAGACATCAAGAAGAGACAGTATTAATATCCTTAGCAACTGTCTGCCTGTCTGTCCAGCCAGCCAGCCAGCCTTTCAACATGAAAAGTTCTGAGCTGAACAAATGACACTCCTTTGTTTAGATCACAGGTTCCACTGTGTATGGGCAGGTGGGTCAACACAACAGTTTATAATAAGCCCTGCTGTGCTTACTTCTGGCTACCAACGGAAAATGGGCTGAATAGGCCTTAGGTCTCATTATTCTTTAGAACTGAAATGGAGTTTGAATAAATAGTCTTGCTACTAATTGGGTTACTCCTATTGTGCTGGGACTATGTTTCTAAGTCAACTAATTATTCAACCTTTAAAATATATTGAGACATTCTCCAAATACATGTTTGGAGAATCCAGTGATTGTCACCATGATTTGGCTTATCTCACTCAACCAAATTCTGTGAAGAACATGTCAGAATAGGAAATATTAAAAGATGTTATATGCAATGCTAGCAGTTAGATTAAATGTAGGATATGGACAGCATATATTTAATTGGTAACTCGGTGTTATTGTGCATTTAATATTCTTGATGTGAAAAGACCTACACTAAGTCACTATCTCATTTATTCATCTTCTACAAATTTTACACATTCATTTTAAACAAATTCATCTGCAGTAAATATTGTCAACTCTACTGAGACCTGGAAGGGGCACTTTAAAAAAAATTGTTGTTTCTATGAGTGTGAATTTTGGGCTACATCACAAATCAGACAAAGCTCTAGGAGATGGTTAATGAAATAATTCTACATATACATGTCCTAAGTTTATATGGAGGAAACTGTAGGAAGTTATCTAAATTCAGTGAGGGTTAAGGACTTTATTTTTTTTAAAGATTTATTTATGCATACAAGAACTGGAGTACAGGCCAGAGGTGGGAGGGGTGAGAAGAGTCAGCAGAGACACAGTGGGGGACAGAACAGGCAGACTCATTGAAATACACTGCTGAGAGGAGCAGCAGGGAGACAGGTCAGCCGCGCCATACGGGTCACTCCCTGGCCGGGGATCAAACTTGTGCTTCAGTGGCTGTGGATTGCTTCATAGTGCTGTGCTTTAACCCCTTCCACCACAAGGGAGGGCATAGGATTATGGTCTTTAATAATAAGAAAAAGCTAGATACTGACCTTCATAAATTGAATCTATAAAGGATATGGGCTAAGAAATCACCCCCTTTGGAGAACATCTACTTAGAGGTCTTATAAGCCTACAATCCATTAGAGAACTTTTCCTCCTCACCTTGACAAAAATCACCTAAAAGCCTATATAGCATTGGAAAAGCTCAGAAAAAATTTCTGGTTGACATGTAATCTTAATCAGATGGAAAAAAGCAACCACAAAATTTATGTGACAGCATACCCAAGTTATTTGGAATGGCATAATTGTTCCCTTTGTGAAACTCAAGAAAATTCAGATTTAAATATAGAAATAGTGTTTTTAAATCTAGGGAGATTTAAAAATAGACACAAATCAAACCCACAGATTACTATTTTCATATTAAATTTTGGAATATCTGCGCGTTTTTGGTATTTCAGAACATTTAAAGTTTAAGAGAATTTGACCTTTTTTATAATAACAAATTAGCCTCTAATTAATTAAATGATATAGACCTGAAGTTTCTAAATTGATAACTGAGATTATATGCAGTATTTGAATATTTAAGTGTGCCTGAACTCACTATACTTGTAATTTTAAATTATTAGATTTACAAGACATTTAAGTACCTAGGAGATTTTAATAATTAGGTAGTTGTTAAAGGAAATGTAAAATGAAATTTCTAATTATAATTTTAAATGTTTAAGAGAATTTAGTTAACCATATTAACAAATCCACCTTAAAATATGATAGATTTAAAATGACTTGCTCCTGAAAGGAAAATATAACATTTTAATAAATCAAATATTAAGTTTTAATATTTTAAAAATTAAGATCCTGATAATCTTTTCTGTACCCCAAACACATCAAGGAGACCAGAAAACTCACAATGACAGTGTCAAGTGACATAGGTAAAACCATTTAGTAATGAGTTTGATGTCCTTTACTTAAGAGAAACCAATCCACAGATTGGAGGAGTACCTTGCCTCACTGTGCCTGTGAGGTGGGGTGACAGCCAGTTGCACAGAGTCCTATAAGGGACAATGTGGAAACAAGATAGGACTGAGTAGCAAACTGGGGATTTTCCCCATAAAGCTAGCCAGGTCCTGCTCTTTAGGTAAACTAGTGGAGGCTGAGTTGGAGGGCTGTAATTTAGTGTATATTAGATTTCCTTGACAGGTGTTTCATCTTAAGTCTTTAAGACATGGGTCTTTGTGACATGGGTATCCTTAACCAACAGCGATACTTTCTCGAGGCTGGTGATTCTTTCACCACGAAGTGGTAAAGCAACTGGAAACTATCAACTGACAGCTGTCATTTGAATCACACTGTTTGGCTGACCAGCCTGATGGTGACCCCGATTGAATCTGGGGTAGGATTTGTCAAAGACTTTTCCTTACCTGATACTTGGAAAAAAAGGTCTATAGTTTTTAAAATTTGAGACAATGCTAAGTTAAGTCAGTATTTTGTTTTACTGCAGAACTTTAGATTCTTTTAATAGGCCAGCATTCTGTGTATCTCCAAGAGGAATGTAGAGTAGACTGCATTTCCTCAACTCACTTCATTGTTGATTTGTTTAATTAATGACAAATGTTTACCGAACAAATAGATTGTGCTAGAGAATGTAGCACAATGTAGCACAAAGTTCTATGTACTTGGGGTAAAGCACTGAACAAAATAACAGAAATCCTTTACCTGTGTGGTACTCATATTCTAATTTAAAAAACACATAATACACATAAATAAGTAGATTATATGATACGTCACATATTTTGGATAAAAAATATGACATCCAGAAAGAGAACAGGAATGCAGAGGATGATGGTGGGGAGCTTAATTTTTCACGTAAAGCAATCAGAGAAGGCCTCATTAAGAAGTGGACATTTAAGCTCTCTGAGGAAAGTATGTCCCAGGCAGAGGTGATGCTAAGTGCAAGGGCCCTGAGGCAGAGTGTATCTGGCATGTTCTGGGAATAGCAAAATGGTGATAAAAAATGAGAGACACACTCAAATTCCTGGCTCCCAGTGGTGATATGGAAAACCATCTTCCTCTTCTCGCTATACTCAAATGCGGTCAAGAACCCTGGTTCCTGCAGAGAGACAAGAGGAGAGGTTCAGAAAGGGTGTAAGATGATGGTTTTCAAATGCTGCCCAAAATCATATATTTGATTACCAAGGTATCTATCAAGTACTACATGTAAGTTGCAATCACTTGTGTTTGAAGGCAGCACAAGATCATGGTTTAGAACACAGGCTCCAGAGCCACCCTACTGAGATTCAAAACGTGATCATATTTATTAATTATACGAGGTGGGGTAAACGGTTTAATTTTGCGGAACTTCAGCTTCCTCTTTTGGGTTAAATGGAAATAACAGTGTCTTTAGGGGTAACTATAAACATTAAATGAGATGTATTTATGGCATAAAGCAGAATGGCATTTCACTAAATGATTCAGTTGATTTCATTCAACAGTGTCACACCTCCCTAGAGCTAAAAATTGCAAGGGGCACAGAAATTCATTTCTATTCTTGGTGAGACAGTATTTTTCATGTGGTAGATATAGTACTTATTTGCTAAATAATGAGCTACAGGTGTGGCAGCAAGACAATGCCCTGCTGTGATCCAATATACTTCCCTCTGTGTTGTTTTATACTATGAAAGTGTTTCTGAAACGCTGGAGAACTGAGGACCAAAGGTGGGGGCAGGTCCTCTCTTGCGTCAATGTTCCTGGACCTGTGTATGCGCTACTAGCCACTCCCGGTGATTCTCATGCACACTAATATTTATGACCACTATGCTATGAAGTGGTTGTCCTCGCTCTCGTTTTATCTTAATCTCTCAATATCTTTTTCTAAGAATACACAGCCTTAAAAAGGATAAACTCTGGGAGTAGGAAGAGGTGCTTGAGAAGGAGAGGGTTCTTTTCTTTAGTATTGGGATTTAATTTCCAAAAAAAGAAGATGGGTACTGCTCTAGAGCCTCCTCAGACACCTGGAAGTTGTGGAATTGACCTGTGGGATGCACAGCCTGAGTTTACTCTGAAGCTGCTTCAGAGCAATTCTATCGGCTCCTTTCCGAGGTCAGGACCACACCCCACTTGCATCACGCTCATTGCCTCTGGGAAGGAAACCAAACGGATGCTGGTGAAGATCCCGTCTAGAACCTGTAGAATGAGGTCCTAGCAAAGAGGTGTCGAAATGGAGACACTTGCGCTTCTGCAAACGAGACTTGCTGATGACCTTCCTGCACATGCCTATTCCCACAGCTGGTACCTCCAGCAGTCCCCAGAAGCTCTACACAAAACTAGAATTAAAGGCGAATGTTTTCACCTGGAGACTCAGTCGCATGGGCCGCTCACAGTCCCACAACATATGGGACACTGTAGCTGAGCTGCTTTGATGAGCATATTCTGATCTATCTTCCTTACCAGCACTGATGTAGATCTCATACTTGGTCTTTTTCTAATCCAATTGTCTTATCAAATGGCCTATGCCAAGAGAGACCAACATCTCTGATGCTATGTGTGCTCTGCAATACCCACAGACATAATATCTGAGGAGACACAACAAAAATGAGAAGGAAAGGCAGAGAAATAAAGGCGGGGGGGGAGGTCAAGAAAAGGGGGACAAAAATATCGATAAAATGAATTACTTTCCTCCTACTCTGTCTCTTAAACCCTGCTTCAAGAGCTGCGGCTCTGAAATTGAAGTGATGAAAGATGAATATGAGGCATATAATATAATCAGAGTTCCCCCAGCAGTTTCTAGCATTCAGCATTCAGAATGAGAAAGGTTAGAAAGACACTGATGAGACCTTCTAAATTAAAACAATGATTTGCTTACAATAAGTTTGTTGGCTGCCTCTTTAATCTTGTCCACTTTTGCTTCTGAAAGCCCTTTGACATTGCACAGGGCTCTTCTTGTTGTCATTTGTATCCCTTTGATGGTACAGATGCCTACTGACTTTAGTTTCTTAATGTCAGCCACATTCTGTAAATAAAGAATGAGTGTAGCAGATTGATAAAATGCCAGCCTGAAAGACTCCAATACTATGTCTTGTACTTTTGTGTCCATCTCCTTCCACCACGATGCCAATTTTATACAGGCAGCCAGGTGGAATCCACCCACCATGTAGCCAAATGTTCTCGAAATATCTGAGTAGAACATTCTCAGCATGCTGCCAAATGTTCTGGCTGTGCCCTGATTTCCCAAGAATGTTAGTGAGACCAAGGCAATGTAACAAGAATTCAGAAAGAAAAGTCTGTTGTTAGAAAAACCAATAATTTTATCACACATTCACCCCCTCAGTTCAGCTCCTTTCTTCTACAGAACTTCACTACCAATATGTTCTTTAAATTTTTTTCTTCTTCTGCTCTTGGAGAATGCAAATAACTACACCCCTAAAGGACCAGACTTTATTTCTCCAACTTTCTAAATCCAACTTTTGAGGGCTTTAAAAAAGAAGTTTTACTCTCAGCTGATTGCTGCTGAAATTCAGCCAGCTTGTTATTCAAGGTCTGGGTTTCTGCAAGCATCATTATGCTCATCACCTGACAGAACTGAATTTTCTACTGATGAAGACAGTGTATGTAGATAGCTCTGACCATGTCCCGCTGAACTAGTGGTTTCCAACCTGGAGGGAGCAACCTTCCACCTGGTGCTGCTGAATGATGTCTAGAGAAATTCTTGGTTGTCACAAGAGGGGTGCTACTCTCCTGACGTGGGGGTGAGGAGCCACGGATGTTACTAAACATTCTAAAATGCCAGGGACAAGCCCCAACAACAAAGAATCACCCAGTTCCAAATCTCACCAGGGTCAAAGGTGAGAAACCCTGAATGGGCCAATTTCACAGAGCATTGGAAAAAAAAAATACTTACAATTCCATGTTTTTGTAATAGGTCAATGTCTTGAAACAAAGATTCCTAAAAGATACCGAACAGAAAAAAAATGGAATTTTGATTCTTTATATCCAGCTATTTCACACCTTTTAAAGAATCAACTTGTTATGAGTCACTACAGAATGCCTCAAATACCACTTCCCCAGACAGCCTGAGGTACAATCAAAACTGTTTTTTCAATGACCAAGTATCTTACTTTGACCAAGTATCAGTGTTGCAAGGTCTGGGAAGGCCAATACTTTTGTGATGGCCTCTCAACATTTTTAAAACCTCAACTCAAGTAATTAAACAACATTTAACCTGTTTTTAAATCTGTTTTCTCAACTTTCTTTGCCACCAGACCTTGAACTTCCTCTGCTATCAGGTACCAATAGGCATAGGTACCAGGATGCCCATACTAATTGTTACATTATTAAATACTTTCATGCCAGTTGCTCAGTAGCTAACCTTGGCACCCCTTGCAGATCAAGTTGTTACATATTTGTGATAGTGCCTCTCTCCAAAACTATATTTCTACTTGCAGTTTCTAAAACTAGTAGTTAGGAGAGCAGGAACTTCTTTTGTGTGGGATGACTGAATGTCTACATCTTTCAACATTCTGATCACACCTCTTCATCCTGGAAACCTGGTTCTTCCAGTACAACTTGGTCTTCCTTCATAGTGGAAGGCGAGCAGCAGAAAAACAGCCAAGTCTGGGGAAATAAGAAATGTTATTTAAGAAGCATCCTAGTAGTGTCACATCCAGAGACCTTGATTTTACTTCAAAGTCACCAAGGACCAGAAAGCCCAGTAGGAGAAATTTTTTTGGCGTGTGTGTGTGTCTGTGGACGGGGGCTCTTTCCTCAAAACTGCTTTTTATCTTTTGATTGTTACATAGCTAGCCACCACTGTCTAACGTACCTTCACTGTGTCTCGTATGTTCAGAATGGCCGATTGCTATTTAACCTTTCCTGGTCACGCTAACGCATCTGTAGCCTCCCTCACAGCCGGAGCTTAGCCCGTCCTTAATAAATAATTTTCTTTTTCTCCTGTATGATGAAGGCTTTCCTTCTTGCAAATTACCAACAGGCTGTCTTGAAACTCTATCGTTTTGCTTTTTAGTATTTACTGGCTTCACGACTTTTTTGAGATCAACCATGATGGTGGACGCCCAGTACCAACGGCGAAACGCCAGGTCACTCAGCTAGAAGCCGTCTCGCACAGCCACTGTGAAGCTCATGAGAATAAATGGAGGCCCGAGTCTTTGGGGCTGCTCCTGGCCTCCCTGAGCACGCCGGGAGGGCGGCAGCCACGAAGGGGGCTGAGCGCCAGGCGCAGGTTTGCAGCCCGCGCACTAACAGTTGCACACAGCGAGGCAAATGGGAAGCGCGTGTGGAACCTTCTGGAACGCCGCCCCTAGAGAGCCCGGTTAGTACTCGTTGCCTCTCTCGCTGAACCCAGATTCTAGAACCTCCATCCTTCTGCGGCAGCAGCGGGTGGCCTGAGCAGCAGCCCTAACGCGGGGCTCCAGGCGGGAAGGGGGTTCAGGTCACCCTCACACCTCCCTCAGGGGCGCCCGCTGGGCGCCAGCCCAACACGTTGCCCAACACGTTCGCCACGCGGATTCCCTCACAAGGAGGCTGCGGCGGAGGATGCCTCCGAGGACCTGACTTACAAGGAGAATGTGGGATCCCGGCGACGCCCAGTCCCTGGCGGCCGCGGGGCGGCGCCCAACGCCAGGAGCTCTGGGCCCAGCAAGGCCCCCCCAAACATCGGCTGAGGAAGGAAGGGGGGCTGCCCCTCGGATTCTTACTCGCTTTCCCTTTTTGCCACAAACCCACCTCGTACCCACAGTCTCCCTGGGATCTCTAAGGTGAATCTCTGCCACCCCAGCCTGTGTTTGCTAGTCCTCAAGGATCCTGACTGGGAACCCCAACTCCAAGCCCAGTCGCTCCAGCGTCGAGCGTCGAACGTCGAGCGTCGAGCGCGTGCGTCGCGCGTCGTGAGCCAAGACCTTTGGCGCCAAACCACGAGGGTTGGAGCATGCGCAGGTCGTGGGGGGGGGGGGGGGGCGAACAGGCCATGGGCGGGGCGTGGCCGAGGCAGGGCGGGGTCAGCCAGGGCCCTCCTGAGGTGGGCGTGTCCTGGGCTAGGAGCCAGGGGAGGGGGTACCTACCTGGAACCTTGAAAGAAGCTTCAGGGGGTGGTGCGCTAGTGCAAGGGAGGATGCTGAGGAGAGCGACCTTGATGGGAAGGGAAACTGGGCCGGCCCCTGAGCTAATGAAGATGCTGAGGTCAGAGAGAGGACTCTGAGATGGGGGGCATTGAAATTAGGGGTAGCTGAGGTGCCCTGAGCTAAAGGCAAGCTGCTGTGAGGAAGAAGGCCCCAAGATGAGGGCTGCTCTGAGATGGAGAGGTCCCTGAGGAGTTAGGAGGTGGCAGGTCTTGAGGTGGGAGGATGCTAGGCTGAGGTGACTGGTCGGGAAAACTGACACGGAAAACTGACCTTGATCCAGACCCCGGGGTGAGGAGGTCAAATGGGGGGACTTTAGCACTCGCTCAAGGCTTCTCTTTTCACTCCAAGTTTTTTATACCTGGTTTCATGGTGTGAACCTCGCCGCTCAGGGCTCTTAAGTTCTCTCTTCTCTGCGAGGCTCTTAGCACTTGCCACGCTCCCGTCTGCGAGTGAGGGACTCAAGCCCATTGAGGATGGGAGTGATTTTTCTTTGACTTAACTTGAAATTTTAAATAGACCACAAAAGCCAAATATATTTTGGTCCAGCTTTGAAATAGAAATTTCAGGCTCGTTTTCATGCCAGCAGTGCCTGTCGCTGGCAGCATCCTCCTCCTCCCTTAAATGGAGATTGATTGCTGGGGAGAGTCATGAAACATTTGAAAGAGCATCTGTTGAGGTGGAGGCTGGGTGTATCTCAGATGAATATCTGTGCAAACAGTTCTTTGGGTTAAAGACCAAGTACAGGGTGACCCTTTTGCTTCAGCTTCTGAATCATTTTACTGGAATAAATAGCAAAAATAAAAGCCCACAATAGTTGTTGGCATTTTATAGGCCACCTCTCCCCCACTCAGGTGGACGATTTAAAGGCCTGAGTAATGGCTGCCATAGCTCTTCAAAATCTGTTGTTTTCCAGAAACACAGCCTACCCCTGTGCTCAATGGAAGTGAATGCCCATTTGTTTGGACAAACTAGGGAGGGAGTGATAGGCTTTCTCTTTGAGGCCTCATCTAAAATAGTTACATACCTAACAACTTGTTAGCTGCAGGCATCAGCAATACAGAAGAGCTGCAAAGAGCACAGCAAGATGATTTAGGGAAATATAACATATGTAGTTTGGTGTAGTGACAGCTGGGCGAGAGAAATGTTCATAATATTTGAAGGTTGTGTGCAGTACACTTAAAGAAAGAAACAGAAACGAGCTTGGTAATGAAGTGAGGATACAAACCTTGTTTGGATAGGAAATTGATAATTCTACATAATTTTCAAATGAAGTTTTAAAACCCCAACCTCTGGGTTGTTTTAAAAGTATACTTGAAGAATTTTCACTCAAATCAAGACAAGGAAAAAAAAAAAACTAGCCTTAAACAGCATTCAAAAAGTCTGAATATGATCAAAGTGGCATTTCAAATCAGCAGGGAGATGATGAATTCAATGAATGGTGTTGGAACAACGAGGTAGCCATCTGGGAGAAAAATAAAAGTGGAACCACACTTCGCACCTACTACCAAAATAAATTCCAGATGGATTGAGAAATTAAATCTGAACAATAAAATAACAAAAGAGCTAGAAGAAAACATGAGACCTTTTTTTTTTTATTATTAGCTCAGAATAAGAAAAATCTTTTGACACAAAACTCAGGAATCATAAGACTTCTCAAACCATATTTTTTAAAAAACCCCTGTGTGGTAAAAAACTACCTTCACTTTCTAGATCCAGAGCAGGACAAAGAGCTTCTGTCAGTAATCCATAGCATTTATGTCAACCAGCTTCCCCAATTTCTCAAATCCTTCAGCCCGTCCACAAGCTCTCTAAAAAATTTTCAAAGTTTACGCCATGTTTATGATAGTCTACAATTTTTTAAAAACAAGACATTGGATAAGGCAAGACCTGGATTTTAAACTATTATGCTTTACTGCCCCTCTGTGGACAAGCACCTTAGAAGCAAATGGAAGCCTGATTTCACTGTGTGCTTGGGTTTCCTCAAATTGGTGCCTGTGATAATCTTAGGGTTTCAAGAATTAAATCTGAGAAGTGCTTTCATAGAGAACTAAAGAAGAAAGCGTCATCAGAAAAAGAGAACTTCACTGAGTAGGTCAACTTTCAAACAGTTCGTTCAAAAACTGTTTATTGAACCCCTCCTGGTTGTCAAACTAGGGTGCTAAGGATTCACAACAAATAACATACAAACCCCAGTGGGGTTGGTACAGATGAGAATATAGGCAGCTAGGTAGTAGATACATGTTCACACACACACACAGCAGTCAGTTGGGGCTTTCTTGTTTATTTATTTCAAATGTGAAAACATCCATCTCTGGCACAAAGCTGCCCCAAAAGGCCATGCCTTGACAGTTTACCCAACAGACAAAAGGCCCACATGGCTGCTGTAAATAGAGTTGACTGTGGCCCTGGCAGGGAAGGAAGGCAAGCGTGAGCTCTGGCTGTCTGAGCACAGACTGCCTTGTCTGGGGCAGATGTTCAACGAGCCTGGTTTCAGGATAGTACCTGTAACAACAGCAGCTTGGGCCGTTACCTGGTGAAATATGCTGTGCTAGGAACTTTGCATGATCTAATTTAACCATCACCCCTAACAGTACTCTCTTCCTCATTCAAGAAAACTAATCCAGGGCCCTCCATGGTGGCGCAACGGGGTTAAAGCCCAGCACTATGAAGCTACCGCAGCCACTGCAGCACAAGTTCAATCCCCAGCCAGGGGGTGACCCATATGGCCCAGCAGACCACTCCTGACCCACCCGCTGCTCCCCTCAGCAGTGTACTTTGTCAGTCTGTTCCTTGCTCTGTCTCTGGTCAATCCTTTCACCACACCCCACCCCCCAGCCCCTACACCCCAGCTTTGTATGTATCAATAAACAAATCTTCAAAAATTAAGAAAACAAATCCAGAAAGGTCTGGTCTTCCAGCTACAAGGCCTAAGGTCATACATCTATGATGAAACAGGGCAGGGATTCGGAGCCAGAATGTTCTAGGGTCAAAGCTTGAGCAGCTTCCTTATCACCACTCCTCTCTAGTCCTTTCCCTGTGTCGGTGGGCAGGGTGGCCTAGAGTGACCCTCAGGGTTTAAACTCATGAGCACGTGGCTGGGTGACACTGTAGGTCCCAAGCAGGCTGTTACTTGCTTCTGGATCAGGTGAGGTCTACCTGCAGGGTTTCTTCCCTCTTGGCTGGGCTGGCAGATATTACCGGGTCACTCCCGGTACCAGGAGGCCCTAATACCAAATGTCCAGCCCAACTGCAGGCACCCACTGGCTCCTGTACCTGTGAGCCCCTGTGGAGTCTCTCCTGACTTGACTCTTTTCTTGGCTTTTCATGCTCTAGCAAAACATGAGCTCCCCGAGTGGTTTACAGACCTTTTTCCCTGGAGGTCAATGGCAGCATCCACATTAATTTTTCTATCCATGGCTGGGTGCAGGTTTGGATAAAACAGGCACTGGGCCAATGTCACCCAGCCCCTCCCCGCCAGCAACAACCATCCTCACAGGGACCCTAGGGAGGGTTTATGAGGTAATGTTTAAAAAACCTTAACAGAACACTTAGCACACAGTACTAAATGAAGTCTCCTAGGATGACTGTGTTCCACGCCAATCTTAGCTATCCCATAGGAGCATGACTGATAAAATGGTGATGATGGAAAGAGTAAGTAAATAAATGTACGAGGTGACTCAAATTTAAATGACAACTTTGATCCAGGGTAGGAGTGGACTTGATTATTCTCTGTCACGTGGACTAGGAATGAGTAACTTTGGGAGTTGGCTTGTTTTGTTGTTTCCATTAGGTAAAACCCCAAGGCGTGCGCCGGACTCATTCAGAAAGATCTCCCGACTCTTGGACAAGAATTCACCCACAGGCACTTGGAGTTGGGACAGTAATATCGACTTCTTGGTGAGGTCTCTGCGGATGAATCATAAAGACACCTGCAGAAATGGCTTAAAACAGCAGTGTGGTCACAAGAGCGAACACAAGGACCAGTATCATACCCAGAGCCCACAGACCGAGCGCCCATGGGGAAGTGAGCTGAGGTCTGGGAGAGAAAGGGGAAGTGTGTGGGCGCTGAAAAGAGTCTGCAAGTCCTGGCAGGAGATTTATACAACCCGGGGAGAATTTGGAGCTACACTGTTAAGTACGTAAGGGGGAAAGGTGAGCAGAGAGGCAGATTGAAAGAGAGATTTAGTTCCAGGGATAGCAAAACACTTTGTAAGGACAGAAAAAGAGCCACAGTGCACTTCATGGCTCACGCCTGGGGTGAGGATGGTTTAACAATGCTGGTTACTGCTCCAGCCGAATTCACAGCAGAGTCACCTCAGGAGGGTGTGTGAGGAGTGGGGCTCACCTCTCCTAGTGAGAAGTCCAAAGGTCAAGGTCGAGGGCCTTGTTCGACCCCCGGCCAGGGAGGGATCCACAGGGCGCAGCAGGCCTCTCCTGTCTCCCCCCTGCTCCCTCAGCCGTGGACTTCATCAATCTAACTGTGCTGCTTCCCACTCTGTGTCTGGGGAATCCTCTCACCTTCTTCTCAAACCCCCACCTCTGGGCTAGGCCCCAATTCTTCTACAAAATAAACAAATATATAATAATAAAATCAGGAAGCAGAACAGCGGGAGTATCTAGACCTGAAGAGGAAAGCAAGCACCAGCTAACAAGCCCTGAAGGAGGACAGGAGAGGTCTGCTGCGCCGTGGGAACCAACTCCCTGGCCAGGGATGGAACGGTGATATCACTGAGACTTGATCCCTAGGCCACCAGCAATGAAGGCCAGAATTTAAGATGATTGTACCTTTATGGGCTTTATTTCTGTACTTACCCAGCAGCAACTGCAGGGCGCTTGGAAGACCTCTCCAGACTTGACTTGTCTGTAAGAATAGAGTGGATGGTCTCTCTCTCAGAGGACTGTTAGGAAGGTTACAGTGATGTCCCGCTTGTCACAAATTTAGTTTAATGTTTGAAGCAGAGTAAACAGTTAATAAATGGTAGTCACTGTGATCATATTGTGACTTGATACTATTAGTTAGTGTTTTAAATAAAATAAGGGATAAAAGAATGTTGTGACTCAAGCAAAAACCTCCTCAGTCCTGCTTGAATGGAATCACTTTCTATCTTGGAAAGAGTTATTTCTATTTCTCAGACTTGGGCCACAATGTTCTTTGTTCTTTCCTACCTGGTAGTGGAAACATCAGAAACTGGGTGAAGGCATCTTAGCCCTGGGAAGGTAATTCATCAAGGTTTGAAAGTGACAAGACAGAACAGTTCAACCTAAGTATTTCTTTGCCTTGCTATGAGGGAAATATCAACAAAAATTCAATGTGATTTCCCTAAATCTTTACAGGTATTGAAAGAAAAAAACTTCAAGTTAACTGGTAACATTGGCAATAATAAGTAACCCAGTGCTGGCCGGCCACAGATGACTCCCTCACTCGGCTCCCAAGCATTGATTAAAAAGAGTAGTGAGGGATCTTTCTGGGGTGATGAAAAACAAAAACTGGATTGTGGTAATCACTGCAACACTCTAAATTTTAAATGGGCAGGTTTCATGGGAAATTGTACCTCAATAACTCTTTAACACAGCAACAATGATATAATTATAAAAGAACATTTTAAGTTTGTTTTAATATAACACCTTTTTAAAAAGAAAAAGATGCCATAGACATATAGTTGTGTTCTAGCAATGAGATGTAATGAGAATGTTGAGACTTATGGGAATGTTCCTGAAGAATCAATGGGGCAATAGATAAGAAAGTAATGGCTGGAGGAAAACAGAGTAAACGAAATTAACCAAAAGAAAGTAGGAGCAGCAGAGTTCAAGCATAGTAGAGTTCAAAGCAGTGTAGTCATCCAGGAGACAGAAGGGCATCACAGGATGGTAATGAAGGCACAGCAAATGTTAATATGTGTGCTCCAGAAACAGAGCATGAAACTCCAGGAGGTAGGCACACAAAGATGGACCTGCAAGCAGACTCAGATGAGTCAAGTCTGATCTTACTCACTGGATTAAGCTTTTATTTTAATCCACTTCAAAGTTTGTTTGTTTGTTTGTTTGTTTAACTGAGACTATGAACGATCAATTTGGCTATTGTATGTGTAAGGTTGATTTGATTGTTCAGTCAACCTGAGAAGAACTCAGAGGGGTAGGGAGAAATTTCCTCTTCAACCCAACAAAAACAAGTCAACACCCAGGGGATGAGGAGCGGATGAGTCTGAAAATATCAAAATACCATGACATCCTTAGGTCCAACATGCCTGGCCCCAGCCTGCTTGTCTGTCCTCATGACTGAAGTCACTAGATATTCCTCCTGGTCAAGTTAGTTTGAGCTGGTTTCCCAACACTTGGAACCAAAGAGCCCTGACCTATCCAGTTCATAAAATGTGCTTGGCATAGAAGAAGAACAAAATTATGGTAGCTTTTACCATTAGCACCACTAATGATAAAAATGAGAGTTGAGTGGATAACACATAAAAGAGAGACAACTTTATGTTTAATACATAAGAATTCCACTTTTCCATAAACTGTTCAAATATACCTTGAAAGAAAGTCAACTTCTCTCTGGTAGTTCCCTTTAGCTTTCTTGCCAAGAGGTCCCTCAATGGGATTTCTTTTAGATTTCTTGTCAGGAGATTCCTCAGGGGTCTTCAAAGATGGGATGAACATGTTGTTTGCTTTTTTCTTATATGCTTGCCTTTGATCAACATTCTTCACCTCCCTGTGGAGAAATCACAGAGACACAGATGGGAAAAGGTGAAAGCATCAACATGCTCTTCTCACTCCTGCCTTCACTGTAAAGAGAGGCAATATTGATCTGCAAATTCATTCATTATGTCTGACCAGAGCAAAGGACCACAGCTGAGAGCTGAGGGTGGCCACTCAACCACTGAGCTCTTGTTGTGTGTCAGGGTCATTTTTAGTCCTGGGGGCTGAGGACTAAAATGTGGTCCCTGAACTCAAGGCAGGTTGGATGGTAGCCTAAGGAAATTATCAGAAAAAAAAACAGAATGTGGCTTGAGCTTCTCAGAAGTCTACGTCATTAAATTGATCAGGGGTGATGGGACGGGCACAGGCACTGCTAAAGATGAAGAAACCCAAGAGATAACAAAATATAATTCCAGATCCTTCACTGGACCCCGGAGTAGCAACTAAAGCCCAAAGAGACACACCATAGGGCAGATGTGGCCTCATTACTTGAACTTGACCTAGTTATGAGAGACAAGATGTGAACAAGGGTAAATACTGTGAACGCATATGGTGCTCACTGCAATGTCAACATTTCTGAAAGGTTCAAAAATGTTCTAAATAAATAAAAGTACTGAGAAGACAGAAGTCACAGGAAAATGTCCATAATAAGCTAAGTGGCGGGGGGGGGGGGCTAAAATGCAAACCGACAGTGAGATGCTCTTGCTTTGTTTAGAGGGACAAGTGCCCAGGAAACACGACTGAAAGGAATTCTAGAAGGGTACCGGTAATGTATGCCTGTGATTGCTTTGCAGATTCTTTGATTTCACTGAGAATAAAATGTGTTGTTGTAGTTAGAAAAAAATTTTTTAGAAAAAGGATTCACTGGCCCTCCCTGGGGGCGCAGCGGGTTAAAGCACTGCACTGAGAAGCTTAAGCCACTTCGGCATGAGTTTGATCCCCGCCTTCCCCGGAGGTGACCACATGGCGTGGCAGACCTCTCCTGACCCGCCCGCTGCTCCCCTCAGCAGTGTACTTCGTCCATCTGCCTGTTCTGCTCCCCACTCTGTCTCTGGTGAAGCCTCTCGCAGCCCCTGAGCCCTCTGGCCTATACTCCAGTTCTGTATGCAAAAATAAATAAATCTTTAAAAAAAAAAAAAGGATTCACGGGTGATTTGGTGATGGGAAACCCGTGGGGATTATAATTGATTGAAAAAAAAAATGTGCAAAATGATGTAAAAATAAACTTTTTAATAAAAAAAAAAAGGATTCACACTCTGTGATTATGGACTTTACGTTTCAACTACTAAGAAGCCAAATGTGCTTAAGATGTTATGCAGAATGTAATATAATAATGTAAATAAATGCTATATATAATATGTTACATACAATATAGGATGTAAACAAATGTTTAGATAACGTAGTTTATATAAAAATAATAATCTATAATGTATATAGACACATATAATACAAACACAGTTTTTATATAATGTTATAGGTAACGTAAATAAATGCTATATAGAATATAAATAACATATCGTATATGGTCTGTAATGTAAATAAATGTTATCTAAATACAATCTCTATATGAGACATGTCATCTATAAGTAAGTGCTTTGTGACATGAATAACATTTATATACATTGTTCTATATAATAGATAATGTAAATAAATGTCATGTAATGTAAATAAAACCCATGTTCAGGGTCACATAAAGAGTCGCATTTACTCAAACTGAATGACATAAGTCAAGCCTGCTGGGCGCAGCATGGCTCACCTGCTGGAAGGCCCGCCCCAAGGCCCGCCCCAAGGCCCGCACACCTGTGGAAGTTGTCCTGCAGCTCCTTCAGGTACTGATCAAAATAGCGCCACTCTTGCCAGTGAAGCTGGTTCAGCTGGTGCAGTTTGAGACTGCGCCTCTTCATGTTGCCCAGGGTCAGGCTGATGATATCCGTGTACCTCAGCCCAGGCTCAATGGTGTCCTTGTCAAGGAAAGCCCGGTCTGTCCTGGGTGCTGACTTAGCGTTGTTAGTGAGGGAGACTCCTGGGGAACCGGGGCGGGGACAGACAGGGAGGACTCTGTTTCTGGACAAGACCTCGGTTCTGTGGGACCTCAGGCGAGACGCGTCACCTCTGTGACGACTAGTGCCCACCTCAGATGATGGCAGACAGGGACGGCCCTCATTCCTCTGGAGTCCACTCTCCTTTCCTTATTCCTGGGCACATCACCACTGGTTTGGCAAAACTCCTAATTGTGGGAATGAGTCGACTCCTTACAGGAGCTAGGATCAGGAGCAGCCTAAGCACCCGCAGGTCAAAGGATGCGGCCTAGCTACCGTCCAGAACACAGTCAGCCCTGAGGCGAGACGGATGCCAGGGATTTGGCCAAAGCCAGGATCTTAGACTGTAAGGTGAAACACGAGCAGGAAAGAGAAAGACCAGTACTGGGCGATGTGACCTATCAGCAACGAGGAAACAAAGCAGACTGACTGACAAAGCAAAATCATCATAAACTAGGGGCCACTGCCAGCTGCACGGGGGTTACTGAGGTCAAGAGCAGGGAGGGAGAAAGGGCCCAGGGGACCTAAGGGGGAAGGGCAGGTATTGATTCACTTGAGATCAGAGGTGAGCTGTGGCCTGAGATCTTAAGGCCAGTGGGTTGCTGAGCTGGGACTCAACTCTGGGCTGTACATCCCAGCCCAGGCTGGGCGCTGCGAGCAGGTGGGAGGCACCCCCGCCCTCCAATAGCGGCCCTGCGAGGCAGGGACTCTCACCCCCATTTTACAGATGAAGAAACTGAGGCCCAGAGAGAAGCGGAGAGTTGCCTAAGGTCACTCAACTCACAGGAAGCTGTGTGGGTGCCTGAATCCTGGTCTACCTGGTTCTGTGTCTGACCCCCTCCGCCAGCTGCGGACTCAGGATGCCCAGTGTAGCTTTTCTTTTAAACCCAGATCTTTAGGGTGACTGCCAACAGGGCCAGCAATTTCTGACAAGTCTGGGATGTGTGTGGGGAGAGGGTTAGAGGAAGCCTCACACCTGACATGGTCGGCAGCACCCTGGCGCACACGAGTACCTGGTGAGCCCGAGGAACCAGTACCTAGTTGGTCTGACTGTTCTGGCAGGTGGGGAACAAGGTTTTGCACCCAGGAACATCGTGCCTGCACACCCAGCTCGTAAGGCAGGCTTGGAACTCAAACGAGCAAGATTGCGACCCTTTGATACCGGTGAATGGCCACCCTCAATGGTGCCCACTGTGTGCCAGACACCCGTGCTGTGGCCAGAGGCCCTCCCCTACTCGGGGACTGGGAGGGGGCCCGGATCGAGGGGCACGGCCTTGGTGCCGGGGAGGATATGGCGCCGTCTTGGGCTTCTCCAGTCTGCGTACCAGAACGTCTTGGCCCTGGTGCTGCAGGCTGGCATAGTTCTGCAGGAAGTGCACGATCAGAGGGCTCTTCCCATAGATGTTGAAGAGGTTGGAGTTCATCGCAGGGCTTTTGCAGATAGGGTGAGACTGAGCAGGAAAGAAGGAGGGGGAAAGAAGGGTGTTCTCGTTTGCTAGCCTGTCAGCTGGAAGGGAAAGGCACTCCCATCCTTTGGATCCTAGAATTCCAGCTGTAGGGTGTGATCCTAAGGAAATTACCCAAGATAAAGAAATAAGATTTAGGCGCTAAGGCGTTTACTACAGAGATAGGGTGACTAAAATTCACCTACAAATTGAAGAAGAAGGGTCTCCTTGGTGGTGCAAGGGGTTAAAGCACAGCACTAAGAAGCTGTCCGCAGCCCCTGCAGCAAGAGTTTAATCCCTGACCAGGGAGTGACCCACCCGTCACAGCAGATCTCTCCTGTTTCCCCACTGCTCCTCTCAGTAGTGGATTTCAGTCAATCTGCCTGTTCTGCTCCCCACTCTGTCTCTGGTGAATCCTCTCACCCCTCCCACCTCTGGCCTGTACCCCAGTTCTTGTATGCATAAAAAATAAATCTTAAATTTTTTTTAAAAAGAAAAGCCAAGTCCTGTTTAAAAAATAAATAAATAAAAATTCAAGAAGATGTTGCTATCTGTACCCAAAGGAAGAACATGCCATCTTTAAAATGTTCACGACGAGGTGGTACTAAAATAATGTTTAGATATAATAGTACATAAAAAATCGAGATGCAAAATTGGGTAAAGAGCAGCACTCTGTACTTTACATGAATAAAATTATATAAAATGAATCAACTTTGAATAAAAGGTAGATGTGAAAACCATTACCAATGAATCAACTTTGAATGAAATGTAGATGTGCAAACCGTTGCCAGAATGCTAAGGATTCCTTCCCCAAATCTTGGGGAGCTACCCCGTACATGTTGTTCTAGGTGTGGGAGGTTCTCCAAGAATAAGACAAACTCCAGTCTTTCTGGAGCTGGCATGATAGCAATGTTTGAGAGAAAAACAGTAAACACAGTAACAAATTAAAGAATAGCATGAGGTTGTGGGATAAGCCTACAGGTGAGAAGTGAGCAGGGTTAGGCGCCAAGGGAGGGCGGGAGAGGCTGGAGGCTGGGGAGGATGGGAATGCCATCAGGGAAGACAGCCTGGAGGAGGAGCCAGTCTGGCAGGCCCGGGTGAGGTCCGCGAGATGTTCCGGAGAAACCCTGGGGCAGACAAGAGCCTGATGTGGCTGAGGTGGAGAATAAAGGAGCGGCTGAAGGAAGCCGAGGGGTTAGCGGGTCTGGGCCACGGGAAGGAGTGAGGATCTTCTCCAAGTGTGATGGAAGCCACCGGGAGTTCTGAGCCGCGGTACAACATAATCAGAGTCCTTTTTCTGCACATCCCTTTGGCTAACGTGTGCACAAATGGCGGCTGTGGGTAAGAATGAGCCCTGCAGGGTGGGGGGAGGGGGGACCTGCAGAGGTGGGAGAGGCAGAGCAGTGACCGCTTTGCGAATGTTGAAGGCAGGACCGTGTTCCGACAGACGTGGTGTGAGAGAGGAGCCAGGGCTGCCAGCTGAGGGTGGGGTGCTCTGGTGGGGCCTGGGCGGACCCGGAGAGGAGGCTCAGGGGAGAGGGTGGGCCGGGCGGGAGCATTTTCCTTATTCTCTTAGCCTTTTCCTAAAGCTGTCAGCAATCGTGATTATGTGCTGTTTTGTAATTAAAATCCCATGATATCTTGAAGAAGTGGTTCTAATTCAACGCAAAAACCATGGCGCCCACCTGATCACATTCTTCTCCTGCTCACTTTGAGGGCTGAGTGCAGCTTCTTGCTACCAGAGCTGCCTCTAGCAACCTGCAGGGGCTGCGGCTGTGCTCTGTGGGAGGTGAGTGTGGCCCCCGCCGCCCAGTCAAGACCAGCAGGAATGAGCCAAGCAGCGGCCCTCGAGGTGGTGCCCAAGGCCTCAGTGTTCGTGGCAGTGGGACTGGGGGCACCCACGTTTCAACAAGAGCGGGACTCGTGGATTATATGGGCGCAGGCGCCACGGGACACTGAGCGCCGCAGGTGTCTGCCCTGATGGACTGTTCTTGACACACACTGGCTGGTGCAGAGGCCGAGCGCCCGTGGCGTGCAGCCACCGCTCCGTTAAGCCTGACTCTGCCCTCACCGCTCATCCACAAAGACAGATGGCGCAGCCCCAGACGGGCAAGGGAAGCGAACTCTGGCGATGGTTAGTAAGGACGCCGGGAATGATGTTATACTGCGGTAGAGCCGCCATAGAAAGCCACCCCGCCCTCCTTCAGTAAAAATGAGCTGTATAAAAAAGAGAAAGAGGCCCTCCCTGGTGGCGCAGCGGGTTAAAGCACAGCACTGAGAAGCTAAAGCCACTTCAGCATGAGTTCGATTCCCGCCTGCCCAGGA